AAAAAAAAAAAAAAAAAAGAATTATCCAGTCCCAAATGTCACTAGTGTCCAGAGTGAGAAAGAAATACTGTTCCACAACCTTGGCCTATGTCTCTGCAGGGTTCAATCTCGCAAGGAATTCACAGTTGAGCTATAGAGATAGGAAAAGCCTAACAATAAAAATGACAGCTGTCAAGAAAACAAAACCAAAAAAAAGGGGAAAAAAGGTCAATTTTATTTATTTATTTTTTGAGACAGAGTCTCACTTTGTCACTTTCAGTAGAGTGCTAAGGCATCATGGCTCACAGCAATCTCAAACTCTTGGGCTCAACTGATTCACTTGTCTCAGCCTCCCAAGTAGCTGAGACACACACAGCTACCACAACACCTGGCAATTTTTAGAGACAAGGTCTCACACTTGCTCAGGCTGGTCTGGAACCTGTGAGCTCAGGCACTCCACCTGCCTTGGCCTACCAAAGTGCTAGGATTATAGGTGTGAGCCAAAAAGGGCAATTGTAATCATCTGTTTTCTGTGTCTGGCCCTAGGCTGCTGGGTGCCCAACACTTGTCAGTCACCTCAGTTAATTGTCCCGAGGTTTAGGAAGGGACTTTAGCCACAGATGTGACTGGTGCAGCCTCAGCCTCATGAAACCAAGCTCCTCCTCTCTCAGTTCTACCCACAAGGCCAGTGTTTCTCTATGTTTGTTCAACATCATAGCATGATGCTTAATATGTTCCAGGCATGTACTAAACATTATATGTTGGTTAGTTCATTCAGTTCTTCTGCCAATCCTGTGAGGCAGGGAAACAGGCACAGAGCAGTTAAGTAGTTTATCCCAAGTCACACAGCAATTCAGCAGTAAACAGTATGGAGAATCCATTAGGTGTCAGTCCTGTCCTGCAGGAGCCTGTTGAATCCTGATACCAGCATAGGCAGCAATTGGTGCTATCTCTACATACAGTGGAAGGGGAAACTGTTTATTGAGGTCACCCAGCTAAAGTGGGCCACTCCATTCATTCTCACTGGAGCAAGAGCAGTGTTTACTGAGCCTGGGTTTTATGGCATGCAGTGTTCTAGGAGCTAGGGGGTCCAGCAGTGGCAAAAGCAAGGTGGTTGCCTTGGTGCTAGCTGAGTGAGGGAGAGGGGATACCACCATCTACAGGGACTCACTAGGGCAGAAGCCTGAGAAGGAATGGCTAGTCATCATGCCTGAGGACCAGCAAGGAGGCCAGCATGGCTTGGGGAAGAGAGCAAGCATATAGTTCCCCAAGAGGGTGCTGTCAGGACCCAGAGCTTGCAGGGCCTTGAAGGCTGTGGTAAGGACTTTGGTTTTGTCTCTGAGCAAAACAAGCCTCAAGAGGGCTCTGAACAGAGGAGGTATGTGATCTGACTCAGGTGTTAACAAGGGCTCTGGCTAGGGGTGGGATGCAAACTGGGGGTGAAGGTAGAAGCTCAAACCCAGTGAGGAGTTGAGTACATTAATCCAGGCAGGAAGTGACATGGCTGCACCAGGATGTTGGCAGTATGTGTGTATGTGAAGTATTAGGATGTGAATAAATATATATCTATATACAGTATGTATAGGTTCCTCTTAGCCTTTCTTTGTCTTTTTGTCTTTTATGACCTTTACATTTTGAAGAATCTGGGTTTTATTTATTGTTTGTTTTGTAGAATGTCCCTCAATTTGAGTTTCCCCCAGATAATCCATTTTGGCAGAAATACCATAAAGTGGTGTCCTTTCTCAGCATCCGTTTACTGGAGATGCTGGCTTTGATCAGTAAGTTAAGGGTGTTTACCAGGTTTCTCCACTATAAATTACTGTTTACCCTTTATAGGGAATAAATACCTTGGAGGAGGTACTTTAGGACTATATAGAAACCGTATTTCTCATCAAACTTCCATCCACAACTTTTTATTTTATTTCTTTTTTGAGACAATGTTTCATTATGTGTAGAGTGCTGTAACATCACAGCTCCCAGCAAACTCCAACTCTTGGGCTTAAGTCCCAAGTAGCTGGGACTACAGGCAGCAGTCACAACATCCAGCTATTTTTTTTGTTGTAGTTGTCATTGTTGTTTAGCAGGCTCGGGCTGGGATTGAACCCACCAGCCTCAGTGTATGTGGCCAGCACTCTAACCACTAACCCATGGGCAAGGAACTAGCCATCCACAAATTTTTACATCAGTTCATAACTTTGCGACTCCTTTATTCCTTTTACATTATTTACTTGCTATCCTATAGTAAGGCTTTTCCCTTCTCCTTTCTGTACTTATGTATTCATTTGTTTTTAATTAGTATGGACTTGGGATTTCTCCTTTATCCATTGAGTTATAATCTGTAATTTATCATTATTTTATTATTCAAATCATTCCAGATTTGGTCAGTGGAAACCCTTTCAAGGCCTTTCAAGGTGGCTCCTATGTGAGACTCTATTTGGAAGAGTCTAAGGGATTGGATGGGCTGTGTATGTGAGAGAGAGGAGGCTAGGTTCCTTTTGGCAAATATTTATTTCCTGGAACTGAGGATAAAGCTTTGATAAAAGCAGACATAAGTTCCTGCCTACACAGGGCTCATGGCCTTTGCTTTTTTTTTTTTTTTCCTGAGGCAGTTTCACTTTATTACCCCTCAGTAGAGTGCCATGGCATCATAGCTTACAGAAACCTCAAACTCTTGGGCTTGAGCACTCCTCTTGCCTCAGCCTTCTTAGTAGCTGGGAATAAAGGCATCACTTCGCTAGTTTTTCTTATTTATTTATTTATATTTTATTTTTATTTTTTTGAGACAGAATCTCACTATGTCACCCTTAGTAGAATGCTGTGACATCATAGCTCACAGCAACCTCAAACTCTTGGGCTTAAGCAATTCTCTTGCCTCAGCCTCCCAAGTAGCCCCATAACCCACGGCTCTTTTTTGGTTGTAGTTGTCATTGCTGTTTGGCAGGCCTGGGCTAGATTCAAACCTGCCAGCCCTGGTGTATGTGGCTGGTGCCCTAGCTGCTGAGCTACAGGAGCCAAGCCAGTTTTTCTGTTTTTAGTAGATACATGGTCTCACTCTTGCTAAGCCTTGTCTTGAACTCCTAAGCTCAAGCAATCCACCTGCCTTGGCCTCCCAGAGTGCTAGGATTACAGGCATGACCCAGTACACTGGCCTATGGGGGGTCCTGTTCTTCTGTGGGTGGCACTTTGTTTTTGGCCTAAGCCACTGGGGGAGGGATTGGGGCCTATTTTTAGGAGGAAGAAACAGAGTTTCTGCCTGATTTTCACCGGAATCAGGTTAAGTGGAGATGACTGATAGACCAGATTTTGCTCCCACACCTTCTTTCTTTAGTCTCTTCCCCATTTAATGGCTTCCTATTCTTTTTCTTCACTCAACAGCAGGACAATGCAGACTCCTCTCACCATTCCTGTGCCTGTGCTCCGGCTCCCCCGGGGCCCTGATGGCTTGAGCCGTGGCTTTGCCCCTGATGGACGCAGGGCTTCTTTGAAACCCAAGACTCCTGAAATCCAGGAGTGTCCCATAGTTCAAGAATCTCTGGAATCCCAGGAACAGCAGGCCCGAGCTATTCTTCGGGAGCGCTACCTCCGCAGCCTGCTGGCTATGGTGGGTCGTCAGGTGAGCTTCACATTGCACGAGGGTGTGCATGTGGCTGCCCACTTTGGAGCTACTGACCTGGACGTAGCCAACTTCTATGTGTCACAGCTGCAGACTCCCATAGGTGTGCAAGCTGAGGCGCTGCTCCGATGTAGTGACATTATTTCATACACCTTCAAGCCATAAAGATTATTATTGTGTTCACCTGTCTGCCTCAAGATCCTAGGCCTCTAAATGTTCCTGCACCAGGAACTCTGGGCCCTGTAGAGTTCTGAGCTCCCCTGGAATTTTGAGCCAAGCAACTTTGGATTCCTGAGACCTCAAGGAACTCGTCAGCAAAAATCTGTGACTCTGGGAATTTTAGATCCCGTTGAAAGGAATGCTCTACCTCTCAGAACTCCGAACGCTACAGAAACATGGGCCTGATGCCATTTCCTGAAGACTGGGAATCTGGGGTTTGCGGGTGGAAGAATCAGGGAAGGCAAATTGCAAAGACATTGCTTATTGAGGAGATTGCAAAGTCCAACCCCCCTGAATATACTCCCCAATGCCCCCCTCCTGCTAAAGAATCAATTATCCCAGGAAAATTCCTCTCATTTTTTTTGTTGCTTTTTTTTTTTCTTTAAATATACCCAAGAGGATGGAATCATATTTATCCGCTGGTAGAGGGGTTATCCAAGGGTTGAATCCAGTGGAGCTGGGACAAGTAGGACAGAAGCCCACAGAAAGGTAGACAGCCGCTAGTCTGGGATTGGCTGGAGTCAACCTGCATACCAGAACTGGGAGATACCAACAAAAATTTATTTTGGGTGGGTGGGTACATGCCCTTACAAGGCCAGGGGCGTGGCTCCCACTGGGTCACGTGGTTGCGCAACGGCTCCCCTCCCGCTTCGGTTTTCCTGGGTGGTGAAGACTGCGTAGGAGAGATAACGGTTTCACTTTCCTCTCAGGGCTGAATGGTCGGGCCCTGTGCGGCGGTGCTGCTGAGAAAGGGCTGAGGATTAGTGATTAGAGTGAGGCTTCACCCTTTCTCCGTTTGCTCTAGCCTTGTAGCGTGGCTGTCTCCGTCACTAGGTTCATTTAACCCCTTATTACTAGTAATCTTTCAGCAGATCGTTTAAAAAGGAAGTAGTTTCTGCCTCCTTTAATAGTCCCTTGAAGTTCAGAATATAAGTGAAGCCTTCCATTAAGGAAAGACGAGGTTTCCTCTCAGTGGCGAAAGTGCGGCGTCTGATACCGTTGAATGGGGTAGGAGTTTAGTCTTAGCTGTCTTCTGCCCATTCACAACGCCACTTCTGACGGGTCAGCGGCCTAACTCTCGTGTTGTCTTGGCAACACCGTGGCTCGCTCCGCCCCATGTCCCCTGTTACGGGTTCAGTCCCGCCCCTTTCGGGGTGCTGGGTGGGCTGGGAAGGCGTGGCGAAAGTGCGCAGGCTAATGTTAAGCATACGAAGGAGGCACAGGGGTGCGTGGCTCGAGCACGCGCTGGTACGTTCCGGCCTTGGTGATCTGCCGTCATCACCCCGTGTTTTGGTTGGCAGATTCGTCTCTCGTCTTCGGCATTTTTCCTTCCAGTTTTTTACCCCATCGAGGGTTCTTATTTATTTTAATATTGTAATTTAGATAAATTTACATTTTATGCAACGCTACCCAGATACAGAGAACTATTGATGTACCTGCACTCTACAAATGGAAGACTAGAGATTAGCAGGGGTGCGGAGGCTTCGTCTCCAGGCAGAGAGTCCCTCTCTCAGCATCCATCCCCTGCACTTATACATTCAACTCAACTTCTCTCGCCTTTCCTTCCACTTCCCTATCCCTTTGCTTCTCCTCAATAGTTAACCTAGCGTCAGGTGTTTTCGTTTCTATCCTCTCTACTCACTTTTCCATTACCTGGGTTTGTGACAAATGTGTGCGAGCCTGAAGAACAGGTACCTAGATTGAGGCGGGAGGCGGGGACACGGAAGATTGGAGGGCGGCTCAGGTTGGCGCTTGCGCGCTGCTCTGGGAGACGGCGTCCACCTGGCCCCTCCCCTCGTGTTCTGCAGTTCTGGTTCTGCAGATTCGCTGCTCACGTTTCTTTTTACCGTGGCTCTTCCTGCTCTTTGTGTCCCCCTTCATATCACCCATGAGATAACTCAACCTAAAAACAACTTAAATCGATTTTATGTTTCTATTACTGCGCGGCGACCTCGCCGGCCATTAGCGAAAGTGCGGCTGCGAACGAGCAGCCGCGCGCGGGGCTCGGCGGAGGCGCGCTTGGGCTCCGGGCGGCGACGACTACAACGACTGGGAGAGCGGACGGAGGCGGCGCCTTAAGCAGCGGCGGAGCCCATGCCCTGGGACGGCGGGCGGGTCCGGAGAGACAAGTCCGGGGCCCGGGGCATGTCCCCAGGGCCCCGGTGAGGAGGCGGCGGCGGCGGCGGTGGAGGCTATGGAGATCCCGCCGCAGGAGGCGCCGCCCGGACCGGGTGCGGACTGCGACGCCGACGAGGCCCCCGCCGAGGCCGAGTCTTCTAGCCCTGCATCGCCCCCCGCCGACGGGCGCCTTAAGGTTGCAGCCAAGCGCGTTACATTCCCGTCGGATGAGGATATAGTGTCCGGAGCAGTGGAGCCCAAAGACCCCTGGAGACATGGTACCTGCGGCCGTGTAGCGGGGGCGGGCTCAAAGGGACCTGGGAATCGGGAAGGATCGGTCAGGGCCCGGCTCGGAGTTGCCGCTCAATAAATTGCACCTAATGATGATTTCAGGAGAAAGTCGTTAATTTAGTTTTAGAGTTGGGCGGAGTGACAAGTATCTGGTTTATGTCCTTCCCCGAAACGCTTAGGATTATTATTTTAGGATTCAACAGTGAACAATTCTTAAATCCTAAAAACAATTAACGAAAGTTTGGGGCAATTAACGAAAGTTCGGTGGTTTGTGAGATTGGGAGGGGTGGCAGCCTTTGAGTTCATAGTTCTCCGAGAGAAAGAGCGTTTGGGAGGAAGAGGGATCAACATTGGTGCTGGAAGGGCAGTTGGAGAGTTTGAGGGGCGCATGGGGGTGGAAGGAAGTTAAATTGCTGGTCTGCAAGCTTAGGGGTAAAGAGTGATCGTGTTGGTTACTTTCTTGGCTGAAAAGAGGAAGAGGAGAGTAAACCTGTACTGTGGCTGAAAAGAAATTGGTAAAAGGGAGTAAAGGTAAATCCTCAGAAAAGGAGCAGAACTAATGGTCAATTTGTATCTTGGTGAGGGAGTTAAAAGCAGTGTTATATCTTGGTATTAAGAAGAAAGGACACTGCATGCCACTGCCTCCTCACAAAAAGAGAAGGAGAAAGAAAGTTGTCAATATTTCAGGAGCAGAGGAAGTTTGGGGCCTGGCAATGAAAGAGTTTTTCTTTCCTGAGAAGGAGCTGGGGAAAGTTATCAAGTCAAGAATTGGAGTTTCTGGTCAGCATTTGAGAGTATTGAAGTTGTTTAGTGGCTTGAGGTATTGGGAGAGAGGTCAAGTCCCTGGACTTTAGGCCCATTGGAGAAGGCTATGTCAGTGCTGAAGCTGAAAAAGACAGCTGAAGGGATGGGGGCTGGCAAGGTGGAAAGTCACTTGGCAGATAGAGAGTTGTCAGTCTGTCATTCTTGCTGGGGAACCTGTGAAGAGAGGGATCAGACTGGCCATAGTTTAGTGTAAATTGGCTGCCAGTCCCTGGGGAAAGAGGAAAAACTGTTGCCACTTTGTGGTCAATAGAATTGTTAGCTCTGATGTGAGGGTGAGAAACAATATCTGGAAACAGAATACAGAATACATGGGGAGCCCGTCATAAATGCCAGTTTGGCTAGTTATTGTTAAAGAGACAGGGGTGGCCATCTCGATGGCTCACACTTGTAATCCTAACACTCTGGGAGGCTTATTAGTTATTGTTAGGCCCACAAACCAACTGCCATCTCCACCCCTCTCCTGGAAGCTTACTGTTACTGTTAAAGAGACAGGGGTGGCTGTCTTAGTGGCTCTCTCCTATAATCCTAACACTCTGGGAGGCCGAGACAGGTGGATTGCCTTAGCTCATGAATTTGAGACCAGCCTGAGCCAGAGCGAGACCCCTGTCTCTAAAAAAAATAGCCAGGCATTGTGGTAGGCATCTGCAGTCCCAGCTACTTGGGAGGCTGAGGCAAGAGAATCACTTGAGCCCAAGAGTTTGAGGTTGCTGCAAGCTATGGCGCCATGGCACTCTACCGAGGGTGGCAAAGTGAAACTCTGTCTAAAAATAAATAAATAAAGAGACAGGGGTTAAATGACTTCTGGCATCGGGAGCCATCCAAGCCCTTGGGCTGTAGGCCCCAGGGATAGGTGATCAGTTTTGGATTGTATGGCTTGGGGAAATGGGGCTGAAAGAAGGAAAGAGTGAGAATGGGCCCTGGCTGTATTGCATGGTATCCAGTCCTGGGAGTTCAGAGACAGGAAAGGGAAAGACCTGGAGAGAGAAAGGAAGGTGGTCAAGAGCAGAGATCCCAAGTCAAATACTGACTTTACCACTTACCTGCTTGGTAATCTCGGGATGGTTACCTACACTCCTGCCACAGGTTTAGGAGAGGACCTGATAAAATCATGTATGAAAAGCGATTGGCTAGGGTGAGCCTTCATGAAGTCCAGTTGCTGTTATCAAGGCAGCATTGGTCATTTCAGGGGCTGGTATAGGGGAGTTAGTTCATGGCGTAGGCCCTAGACCTGCTTCAGAAGCTTCCAGGAGAGGAGAGGAGATGGCACTTGGTTTGTGGGCCTAAGGTGAGGGAAAGGGAAGATGGTCAGTTAGTGGGCTGAAGAGTCAGTGGCGAGGGCACTGGCACAAGTGGCTTTGAGTAAGCAATTTTCTCTTAAAGCCTCCTGGGTTTTTTCCTATCCAAATGGGGGTGCTAATTTCTACTTTGGGATAGTTGTGAGGATTAAACGAAGTAGTGGTTGTAAAGTTCTGCCACATAAATAGCAGCTGTTCTTTAGAGAAATTGGGGGTTTCGTTTTTCGTGGGTAGTTTTGGAGAGGCAGTGAAAGAATTTGAGGGGAAGGAATAATGCCCATTAAGAAAAAGGGTCCTGGCTTGGCACCTGTGGCTCAAGTGGCTAAGGTGCCAGCCACATTCACCTAAGGTGGTGGGTTCGAATCCAGCCCAGGCCTGCCAAAACAACGATGGCTGCAACCAAAAAATAGCCAGGCACTATGGCAGGTGCCT